TTTAACATATCACAAATATTAATTTTACAAAAAAAAAATACTTCTATAGTTTGCTTACAAATTGTGTTAGTGTTATATTTTTTGCGTTAATTTTTTATACGTATAATATTTAAGTTATTTTTTAACATATTCATTTTATGTTAAATTAACACAAAAATTTAAGTAAACCGTTTAGGACAATTGAAATGTATTAAATTTAACATAATGTATACATTTTCCAATGTGTACATTTGATAAGAGTATCTCGCGTATTTGTTCTTCTGTACGATATTAATCATTCGCGATGAATATGCCAACAAGAATGGCACGTCCATATTTTTTTTCAAAGTTACAATCTTATGATCATTATATCATTGCGATCTATCATCTATCATTGTCAAGACAATTAAGTAATGTTAAGATTTCTATAGAAATGATGGTATTTAATTTAACATGCATCAACCATTATAATCACACAGAATGGTTTTATTAAAGTATTTAAAAATACAGATCTCAAAATAACTTTGCATATAACTTTGCATATAATTTACAATTAGTATTATATTTGATTATATATACACTTTTTTATCTTCTTATTCAAGAAAAGTAAAAAAATAGTATTACTTAAAAAATATTCAATAAGTTACGAATGCATATAAACAAATGCACATGCTAATATAAATATCAGTTTTTTCATATAACGATTTAATTTTATTCGTTAAAGAATTTTTACTAAAATCGTGATTGAAAATTCTGATATAGCGCGATTAGGATAACCTATGATAATGATGAAATCCAATTCTCATTTATTCTGTATTATTCGATGTTTTCATTTTATATTCCAAGTATACGTCAAACATGCTACGTAACCATTCGTCATACTAGTCATTAGTCTCATTACAAGCAGAGTCTAGAAATTTTGCAACACGCACATTTCATTTTTTAATGCCTTGCAGTTTATCTTAGGAAAGACTAGTGTGGTTATGAATATAATCAAAATTCGAATAAGTGAAGAATATGAATATATAGACGAGTATGAATATAATTTCTTTTTGTATTCACAGGAAAATGGATACATATTTTTTTATTTATTAATTTGAATTAATATATTTGTGAATATGATTACGAATATTTTTGATTCCACATTCACTTCTGCTCTGTAGAATTTGCAAGTATAGAATAAACTGAAATTTAAAAAAAAATAAAATCGGCAAAGAATCAGTATAATATTCAATTCTTCAATCCTAACTAATTATGTCCGAAAAAACAATATTTAAAAACGAAAATCAGTAAAATGAGTAATATAATGCGTGACAAAGACATTATAATTGTGTTTTTTTCCAATTAGAGATTTCAAAAACAATATCTAATAATATGTATTATCTAATGTATTGTTACACTCGCGCTCACTACTGCACTCGCGCCTGCAGTAAAGACGGTGACACTCGCGAGCTCGCGGGGAAAAGAACAACACACTCGTTTATAAAAAAACTGCAACGGTTTATTGAACTCAAACGTTTTGTGAATTATTTTCAATTCCTGTTTATCATAGTAGTTGACAATTTAATTCTAATAAAAACAAATATAAATAATTTGAAAAAATGCTATGCAAGTTGGCGCGGTAGTGCAGATTAACAAAGATACATCATATCAATCTAGCTCATATGATTAAAAATTAAAGAAGTATCAAACGAAGGGCTAGTGAGCCTTGCACGGAGTTAGTGCTGAAATTACATATATTTAACACAATAATTTACACCCAAACGTTTCGGCTCCGCATTGAGCCATCTTCAGTGGGTAAAAAATACAAAATTTTTTTCTTTATACGTTACATTAGCATTTTGTTCGTTCGCTCCCTCTAAGGTCGTTTATCGCTCGTTGTGAAATCGTTCGTTGGAAAATCGCAGTGTAGTGTGATCCAATCTATAAGTGACAATTTAACGAATCGAATCGAAGGAAAAACATATTATCTCTGTCTAAGAACAATAGAGAATCCTTTATGACCATATAATTACCGAAGAGTTACAATCTGAACAAAAATGAGTACGACTAGTACCTTGAGTCAATGTGTAAAAAACGAGATGTCAAGCGGAACGTTAGTCACATGGCGGAAACAGAAAAGAAGTTTTTGGCAACCCATAAGCCCTTGGTATCGACCCGTCGGTGTTCAACAATTCTCTATATGTTTTGTGATCTATGCATTCTTGGTTTTTCCAATTCGACAGCTGAGTACGTACCTCGCCCGTTAGTTTTTTTGTGGGGTCTTTTTTAATGATTTCGTACGTATTTCTATCAGAGAGCAGCTCGTTCATCTTATCGAGGTATTCTTGTTTGGGTAATACTACTGTTACATTGCCTGGGTTGCCAAAAATTTATAAAACAGGCTATCCATTACGCATAATAGTTTCTTCGATAAATAGACCGTTATATAATTTAGCTCGATTTTTACATCTGACCATTAAAAACAGCATTCCGGAGGCCGACAGTCACGTCACAAACAGTTTTCAATTAGTTAATAAATTAAAAGGAGTCTGTTTGGATCCAAATGAAAAATTTGCCTCATTGGATGTGGTGTCACTCTTCATAAATGTGCCCACTGATCTGGCTGTTAAATACATTTCCGACAATTGGGAGATAATGAACAACAATACCACCATCCCACAAGACGAGTTTCTGAATGCTGTCCATTTGGTTTTAAATTCCACAGTGTTTTTTTTTAACAAAGTTTTTTATAAGCAAATTTTTGGCACACCCATGGGCTGCCCACTGTTACCCACCGTGGCTGACATGGTTATGAGATATTTAGAGAGAAGGGCGAGAATTTAGAGCAGTTACCTTTACGCTTACCCTTTTATTTTCGATATATCGACATTTTTTTAGCAGCACCTCTTGACTCAATGAATTCGATCCTACAAGTCTTCAATTCCTTACGCGAAAAATTAAAATTCACGATTGAGATTAGTGAGAACAATAAATTAAATTTTTTGGATGTTTTAGCTATTTGCCTCAACAATAAAATCATATTTGACTTATATAAAAAAACCAACATTCTCAGGCAGATATCTTAATTTTAACTCACAATATCCTGTATCTCACAAAAAAAGGTATTATTTATGGAATGGTAGACAAGATTATATTTCTTTCAGATCCCATATTCCACCAAAAGAACCTTATTTTAGGCATTAACGTCTTATTAAAAAATGGTTATTTACTAGCTTTTATTTTTTTCAACATCCATACTAGACTTAAATGCTTGTTTTACAGAACGAAACATCTGAACACTGAGAGACACTCAGTAGTCACTAAAAAACGTTTTACGTTCCCGTACATTCAGAACATCTCGGAAAGAATCTTGCCTATTATGAATGAGTGCAACATTAAAACGGCGTTTTCGATCCCCAATAATCTAAAGAACTTCATAAAAACTGGAAAAGATTCTCTAGATCTTATATCGCACAGTGATGTGGTGTATAAAATCTCGTGCATGGACTGCGACACCTCGTATGTAGGGCAAACAAAAAGGCAGTTAAAAACAATTAGAATCCATGAACACATATCAGAGATCAAAAAAACTAACGGCTCTCCTTCAGTGATTTCAATCCACAGAGAAAAGGAGAATCATAAATTTAATTGGGACAACGTCCAAATATTAGATAATGAGAGACATAACAAAAAAGACTAACATCAGAGATGGTCCATATCATTAAACAAAAGAACGGATTAAATAAACAAAGCGACACGGAGTTTCTCTCAAATACCTATCTTCCGATTCTTAACAGATTAGCCGTTCCCTAAGTCGGTTCCTTCCTCTCCCATAGTCTCATTTTCGTATCCCCTTCTAAACGCTTATCCCCCCCGCCCTTCGGAGATGGAGAGTGCTTACGATCTTTCTTCGTCATTTTATGTTTGTCTCCCATCTAACTAACGTTCCTCTTGACATCTCGTTTTTTACACATTGACTCAAGGTACTAGTCTTACTCATTTTTATTTAGATTGGAACTCTTCGGTAATTATATGATCATAAAGGATTCTCTATTGTTCATAGACAGAGATAATATGTTTTTCCTCCGATTCGATCCGTTAAATTGTCACCTATGGATTGGATCACACTACACTGCGATTTTCCAACGAATGATTTCACAGCGAGCGATAAGCGACCTTAGAGAGAGCGAACAAACAAAGTGCTAATGTAACGTATAAAGAAATAAATTTTGTATTTTTTACCCACTGAAGATGGCTCAATGCGGAGCCGAAACGTTCGGGTGTAAATTATTGTGTTAAATATATGTAATTTCAGCACTAACTCCGTGCAAGGCTCATTAGCCCTTCGTTTGATACTCCTTTAAAAATACATCAGTTACATAATAAAAATATTTAAAATCAAGTACATATTTTAAAAAATTGAACGCTTCGGCATACATTGTAACTTACATTCTCAGCGAATACAAAATTAACAGTATACATAAAAAAAAGAATAAAAGTATAAAAAGCAAGTCAGTCTAATTTCTTAAAAAATTGAATATGGCGGGACGTAATTAATGGACAGCGCGTTACCATAGCCTTTTTTTCCAATTATTTGTATTTGTTTTAATTGTCGAGAATATGTTGATTTATAATTTGTTTTAATTCTAATAAATGATATCGTTTATTATGCAATATATTAAAAAACGCAATATAAGCTGTTACTATTTTCTTTAACAAGAAACGAAAAAAAAATATTTTTTACGTAAAATTATTAAGACTATGAAAAAGAAATTACTTAAACTTTCTATCCATCGTAATAGTCAATGATTAAAAAATGGTTATCTTATGGTTTCTGGCTAACTCATTGCTAGAATTTAATCGACGCCTAATATAACGACTCGGCCTTGAACATATGAAAATAAAAAAAAAGAAACGTAATAATAGTCAATAGTTATCTTATGGTTAACTCATTGTCAGAATCCAATCGATACCTAATACAACGACTCAGCCTTGAGCACGTGAAAAGAAAAAAAAGGAACGTTCATCCTTTCACTTACTCATCACGTCGAACTGGGGCAGCCATTTCCTGGCCATAACGTTGTCCAGCTTGTGCGGTAATTCGTCAGCCTCCCATTTCCAAAGCACTTTCCGCGGTATCGAGCCAAGCACCTTTAATATCGCGTCGAGCTTCTTGGGTGGCATCGAAGTCATCTTGATCATGGAGCCCAAACTGAAGTACAGCACCCCTTCGTGGGCGCCGTCGAGAAATTTAGCTATGTCCTTTGGCAGCGGGTTGACCTTGGACGGGATGTGGAGCCCACCGATTTCCACTACATTCGGTAACTGCGGCCGGCTGCCGTGAATGCTACTGTGGGTGTTCACCAGCAACGCTTGCGACTGCTGGGCGATTTCTTCCAGCTTGGGAAGATCCGAACCGAAGACTTCGTTAGCGGTGACCTGATCGACAGCTCGGAACCAATAGTCGTAGATCACTTCAGACAACGACACCAACAGTGTATTTTGCATTCGATTGAGAAAATTCATAGGTTTAACGAAACCGACGAATATAATCGGGATGTAACTGGGATCGTTCGAGTTGTCCATATCGCTGTTGGTCCACGGCATGATTTGATGCGACGACAGAGCCATGTACGGTGCCTTAAAGCGATGAACAAAACCCAAAAAGCAATCGGTGTTGAAGTTCTCCGTGAGAATCAGATCGAATTTTTCGTTGGATCGAAGGAATTCTTTCACAGCTGGAGTCCGCAGACCGGTGTTACACGCGTAATCTGCCATGAACCTCAGCATGTAGATATCTAACAGAGGACGGTACCACGCGTGATTAATCTGTTGGAGATCGATCACTTCCACAAAGACGCCGTCCTTGGGATTCGCTAAATTGACGTCCTTATAATTGGGTAGCGGCTCTTTCGCCTTGACACTGTCGCTTCTAGGGAAGTACGAGACCACAGTGATCTCGTGACCTCTTCGAGCTAGTTCCTCCAAAAGCGGCTTGAACACGTCAAAATGACTCTTACCAGGATGTCCGAAGACACCAAGTATTTTAAGTGTTGTTTTCGTGGTATTCACGAAGGTGGTCTGGTTGACGGCCAAACAGCAAGCGGAGAGCACCGCGAGCAAAAAGAGAATGATGAATGAATGTGTCCTCTGCATGTCGCGGATATATCGAGGTAAGTCTAATTAAATAAGTAACCGCAAATCAATAATTTCACTCCGATTAAATTTTTGTGTTAATTTAACACAATATAATTTCACGCA